AACAAACAACACACACACACACACACACACACACACACACACACACACACACACTAAGGTATTTAAATCAAAATTAAAATAATATAATAATAATAATAAAATTAGCAACACTTATCTGGGTCTGAGCTTCAGTTCTAACATGCTAACTAAGGTCAAGAGATCAGTGTTCTGCAAGGAACATAAATGGTATTTAAGTAAACACTATATAATGGCTGATGTGCATTAAAAGGTTTTAGTGCAGTCACTGGGCTTTTCTCTAAAAGTTAGTATTCTTGAAATAAAATGAAACTACACTTTGCTCCGCTTTCAAGGAGGTTGTATTTGGGGAAAATAAAAACTTACACAGCAGGAGAAATGTAGTGGCCTTACAAAAGAGCAGCTGAGTAAGAGGAGCTGGTCACTTACTGATCATTCAGCAGAGTTTTCTGTGAAAAACTTTAAGTACCCAAATATTCCTTCTTTTTGATTTGCCATCTCATTAGACCAGCTCCTTACACTGTTACTTTTTATTTTTCCAAAGATATAAGGACTCTAGCCTTTCAACTTGAATTCCCTCTGAGGACAAGCATTTTAAAAAGTATTTAATTCATGTGGAAAATATTTTCCACTTTCTCCCACAGGGAACAAAATTATTGGAAGTATTTGTAGAGTTAACCATGCGTTGACTATCTTATGTTTTACAGTAGCACTGTGCTCCAATTCATTATGCATCAGAGGGATTGTACTTCTAAGATTTCACATTTTTTTTATTTTAAACTGCAAAAATGTTCTCTGAAGTTCAAACTTCTTGCATAGGGAAGTTCTGCTTTAACTAAATAAAGGTGGTAGAACTGGGTTGGAAGTGTGGCAAAACTCCATTGTAATTGGTTTCCATTAAAATATCCAATTGTTTGTGGATACATTTTTTTTATAAAGTAGCGTAAAGGGCTAATTTATCACTCTATCAAAAATTAGACTCTGAAGGTCCTTGCAAGTTATAACGTTTTCATTAGTTCTATATGCATCACTAAGGCTTGTCATCATTACTACATGCGCCTCACAGAATACTTAATGTGGAAGTGACTCACAACACCACATAAGGCGATTATATACATTTATGTGAGAACATCATGCAGTATGGGCTTATGGCAGCACACTGAGACAGGTTCTTGGAACTATTTGTGGAGTAAGGCACCACCCAACATGAGTACAAATGGTGGAATCTGGCCCAGCACGTTGCCATGAGTCAATCCTGTATCATTAAATGCTCTTTGTGAGGTGGGATATAGGCTTTATGACAACACAATGGGTTAAATTCTGTCACTCTTCCTCTCCTTGGGTACTGCCTCAGTCTGCAAGTAGTCTCAAGACTACGTCTCAATGTGTTGCCATAGGCCCAGACTGCATTGTGTTTCTGCATAAATGTATATTCTATCTCAATCTTGCCTTATATTGTGCTGTGAATTATTTAGTGCACTCTGTGAGATGGATGTGTGGGGCTTGAAGCTGTGTGACTGAAAGAAAACTTTATAATTTCCAAGGCCAGTGATCTCAGTTACACCAGCAAGAACTGGAGTAATGCAGTGATGTCAATAAATTAGCCCTTTAGGTTGCTTTATGAGAAATGTATCTGCACACAATTAGATTGCTGAAAGGAAACCAATTAGAATGAAGCTTTTCCCATTTACAAAATACTTTTAAAATTTAAATTAAAGGAATGTGAAATCTTAGAATTACAGTCCCTGTGAAGCATAATGAGCTAGAGCTGAGTGCTACTGCAACACAGTCAATGCTATATGTGTTAAATAATTTTGTTCTTTATGGGAGAAAATGGGAAATAACTTGATGAGATTACTTGTGGAAGTAAGGTGACTAAGGCCTGGTCTACACTGGGGGCAAGATCAATCTAAGTTACGCAACTTCAGCTACGTGAATAACGTAGCTGAAGTCGATGTACTTAGATCTACTTACCGTGGTATTTTCACTGCGGTAGGTCGAATGCTGACTGTTCCCCGTCGACTCCACATACACGTCTTGCTCCGGTGGAGTACCGGAGTCAACAGGAGAGCTCTCGGTGATCGATTTATCATGTCTTCACTAGACGCGATAAATCGACCCCCGCTGGATCGATTACTCTGGAGGTAAGTGTAGACATGCCCTTAGGGTGGTAGACTCTACCCCTATGCTTTTTAGTATGAGAGGATGAGACATGCAGACTATGCTTTCAATCTTACAAACAAACAAAGAAATGAATAATGTTGCTTACACTCCCTGGCTCTGTGAATATGACATTGACAGGAAGCTAGGCCACGATTTTACAAAATAGGTGCCAAAGTTAATTTCAATGAGAGCTACTGAGTGGTCATCACTTTTGAAAATTAGGTCACTTTTTTAAGTGTCTAAGGGTACGTCTACACTTACCTCTGGGTCCGGCGGCAGGCAATCGATGTTCTAGGATCGATCCCGGAAGTGCTCGCCGTCGACGCCGGTACTCCAGCTCGGCGAGAGGAGTACACGGCATCGACGGGGGAGCCTCCCTGCTGCGTCTGGACTCGGGGTAAGTTCGGACTAAGGTACTTCGAATTCAGCTACGTTATTAACATAGCTGAATTTGCGTACCTTAGTCCGAAGTGGGGGGTTAGTGTGGACCAGGCCTAAGTCTGAACTAGGAACTTAGCTTTAAGAACCCATTTAAAAAAATCTTGGCTACAGTTTCTGTCTCATTTGAAAATCAAGTTGTGTACCATATAGTAACAATGTAGAACTATATAAATATAATATAGATGTTGTACTATATTATTTTAACTTCAGTGTGTTATCTGTAATATAAAGCTAATATGGGGTTGCAGAAGATATGCAGTGTAAGTGGTTAGAAGGGTCTAAACATAGAAACAAAAAGAAAGACGTCTGCGTAGTTCATTTTATTTAAAGAATATGTGTTTGAGGTTCGTGTGATTAAAGTAAGATACGGCCATTTTTACTTACTCCACTGTTTATTTAAGCTAAGTAGCCTAATGACACAAAGGGGTCTTGGCTTGTAACTAAAGGAGAACATCAGTCTCAGAAACTATAGCTGTTTTTTTTAAACAGCTAATCTAATCAGACCACCATTTTTTCCTTTTGTACACTGTATTCAGAAACACATTAATTCAGCTTGCATCTCTGCAGATATAATGAAACATAAAATATTTTTAAATATTATAAAAGCTTCATGACCAGGGAAGATATCAGCAAGGGTCAGGAATAAATTTCCTGATATAATATGATCATTTAAAGTTGCTTCCTGTTTACAAGGTACTCGTGGTAGCCTGGGTGATTATGCTTGGGGTTGAGAAACATACTATCCTAGGCTATTATTATTAGTATAATAATCTGACATTACATCTTCACTGCAAATAAAGATGTTTATTATCTGGAGAGAGCCATCTCTGTGTAAAATCCTAGTAGTGACAAGGCACAGGTATTTTTTATCTTGGTGTCACTAGTCAAGATAAAACAAATACCCTTCTCCCTCCACCCCCTTCGACCCTCAATAGGGTTTATCTCAACTAGCAACATCTAGGCACAAACTATAGTGCCTTCGCACTCTCAATGTTAGTTAGCTATTTCATTGTAAAAACACACTTTTTGCAGTGAAGATATAGCATTAGTATTTCAAAAATTCAGTTTTTAAATAAGAGAAGGAAAAATCTACCCAAAATATGGGCTGGCAAAATACCAAAACAGTGTTTAAAAATACTTTTAAATGTTTTTGTCCGTCCTTTTCTCCTTCCTATGATCTCCCTCCTCATTTTCCTCCCCACAGGTAAACAAGAGTTCTTCCCAGAATTGTTGCAATATATTTTTATTTATATTTTCTTTCAACAGCAAATTGACGGGAAGAGCTGGAATTTTTGCAGTCTAAACTATCTGCATAAATATAGATGCAAGGGAAACTATTAATGATTATGTAAACATACTATCAGCTTATATTGATTACTTTTTCATGTCATGCTTGTATTGTTTTAGTTTCTTTTGAACTGATTCATGTAGAGGAAATTACATATTTTTGTTTTCCAAATGCAAGTGGGAAGCAAATCCATAGGTAAAATGTTTGAGATTTTAAAGGATTATAGCCCTATTTTTATTAATAAGAAAATACTACACAAAATATCCAGGAATGTCTTTGAAAAAATTTTCAAACTTCATAGTGTTCATTTTCTTTAGATTAGTAATTTATTTTTAAGAATTTCATAATATGATTGTTTTGATGTTTTCTATATTTTGGGCTTGAAGTATAACATTTCCTCTCTTGGTTTGCATTAGGGGGAATTTGTTTCCTGTCTCTTGTCACTATTACGACAAATGACAGACCGACATTACCAGCAACTTCTTGATAGATTCAACACAAAGGATGAGCTGAGAGTAAGTAACAGAGCTTCAGTTTTATACCTTTAAATGTTCTCTCCTCTTCTTCTTCTGCCTCTGTTCAGGAACTCCCCTGTCTCAGTTAAGGGGTGTTTTGATGTTTAAATATAATCTGTTTCTCAGACACACTGATGACAACTAATAGCTACGTAAGCTTTTTTCGTTCATGTTTACTCAGGGGAATTCTTGTGGCTGTGGGTTGGATTTTGTTGTTTCTGTACTTAAAGCTGGTAGGAATGAGGAAAGGAAAACTATAGAATTGTGTTATAGCCTTTTCCTCATTCTCTAATCCCATCACAGAGAATAAACTAATCACAATCCAAGTAACAAATATGAAAAACTTCTATCCAGGGAGACAAAATTCTCTTGGATTTTTCCTATCTGCCACAGTTTAATTGATATGACACGGTGCAATGGCAGACTAGCAGCTTAAAGAAAACACATTCACACTAGTACCAGATTCAGAAAGAACAAACTTTTACGTGCAGCTCATGAAACTCTGTAGATCCCTGACACTGTCCACTAAAAGCTTTAAAATGCCAGTTCTCTCCACAACATCTTATTATTATCCTAACATCTTCCAGTACCCTGGCTGACCTCACTCATGTGGACAGGGAAATTAACATGTTCCTTATGTTTACATTATTTTAATATAAGCTATTATACTATTGGTAGAATGCCTGAGTCACTTCCATTTTTAATTTTGATAATTAAACTGCCGTTTCTAGTCTCATCAGACACAGTGGAAGTTTCTTAGGGGATAGTAGTTAGAGGGTAATATTCACCCCTTCTCCTTGTAGCACAAAGCCTGTGTAAACTGTGTGGCTGGGTGAGGACAGAACTTTATTATTATTGGCATCCTTTCGTCCATGAGAGACCGTGGGAATTGCAGCCCTATGATGTAGATGGTTTGCAACGTCTCATGTGACTGAATTGTCCAATCCAAGATTTCCATGATCTTTCACAGTTATTGCAAATGTATGTATCTTGGTTGGGAGCTGCTGGCTTCCTATGGGCTCTTTTTTCTTCAAGCTGTAGGATCCAGCTTCTGTCATGGACTTCGATCCCCTGATGTAAATGTGGATGGTGGCGTCACTTGTTATGATCACTTGCCAAGATTTCCCATTGGTCAGGATTAATTCCAAATTTCTTCATATCTATTTGCATGTGTCTTTATAGCGAAGTTTGGGATGTCCCGTTGTTCTTGTTCCCTCTGATAGCTCCCTGTATAGCATGTCCTTGGGAATGCATCCGCCTTCCAACATACTCAGATGGCCCAGCCTGCACAGTCATCTTTGCTTGAGAAGAGCTGTCACACTTGGTAAATTTGCCCTTTGAAGAACCTCTACATTGGTGACTTTATCTTGCCATTTGGTGTTGAGCATGTGGCGTAAACAACATAGGTGGAAACTGTTTAATCTTTTCTCCTGATGAGCGTAAGTTGCCCATGTTTCCCCACTGTACATGAGAATGCTGAGAGAATACAAGTTTGGTACACTACCATTTTGGTCTTGATGGTAAGCTTTGAGTTGTTCCCTGCTCTTTTAGTTAGTCTGCTAAAGGTGGTAGCAGCCTTTCCAATGCAAACAGTTAGTTCTTCATCCAGTGAGTTGGATGGTGGTCACTGTAGAACTAAATAGCTGAACTTTAGGACTACTTGTAGCTGGTTTGCATTTAAGGTGATTGAAGGATCTTGTGGAATCTCCTGTCCTAATACAACCATTTTCTTAATGCTGATGGTGAGAGCAAATGCCAGACAAGCACCTGAAAGGCGGTCCATGAATTTCTTGTAGTAGATCTTCATCATGGGCTATGAGGGCACCATCATGAGTTAATAGAAGTTCCCTGATTAGTACCTTTTTAACTTTGGTCTTGGACTTACGTCATGACAGGTTGAAGAGTTTTCCATCCAATTTTGTGTGGAGATGCATTCCATCTTTCATGTTCTTAAACATACAGTTCAAAAGTACCGAGAAGAAGATTCCAAAGAGTATAGGGGCAAGAACACATCCTTGCTTCACTCCGATTTTCATCTCAAAGCTGTCCAAAGTGGACCCATCAAACAAGAAGGTTGCTCTCATGTTGTTGTGGAATGAATGTATCAGACTTAACAGGGTTGGTGGGCATCCTATCTTTTCTAGTATTGCAAATCGACCTGCTCTGCTGACTGTGTCAAATGCTTTGGCTAGGTCCACAAAGACAATGTACAAAAGGCGTATGAGCAAATTCACTCAGTGTTTTTTGCCAACAACGTCCACACAGGATAGATTGGGCCCTTCAGGTGTAGCTGCTAACCAATCTAGAAGTGGAGACCCGAAAAGAGGGCAGAGGGAAGATCTCCTCTGCACTGGCAACTCCTGCAGCGTAGCTGGTTCCAAATGTATCAACTCCAGTCCTTCCTTTGGTCCAAACCAGTGAAGTTGAGAGGGGGATGCTGATGCATGGGCAAAGCAGTACCTCCATATCAACCACCCAGGCTATTGCAGCCACATGACATGGAGAGGATACTCCATCCTTTCTAGCACCATGGACACAACATGGAAGGTGGCAGTTATGGGTTATAAGCTCTCACTTGTTTGGCATAGAGGAGAGTGTCACAGGTCACCTTCAACAGTGGGAAGAATCACTGCATTCCATTGGTCAGCCCCGCCCACCACAAAGCTGGGCAGCTCCCGGACAGTTGGGTGCTGACCCACCACAGTCTGTCTGCCTCATGGGGTGCGTGGGGCTAGACCAAAAGTTGAAAGGCTGACAGAAATCTTGCACCTGGCCAAAATAAAAAACCAAGAACTTTCTGGCTTGAAAGCTGGAATATCAGGACCATGTGTCTGGGATTGACAGACAATGACAACCTACAATACACAAGCAGCATGCGGAAGTCAGCTTTGATAGACTGTGAGCTGTACAAGCTCAATGTTGACATTACAGCACTCCAGGAAACAAGACTTGCAGGTGCTAGTTCTGTCCAAGAGGCCAATTATACCTTCTTTTGGCAAGGTAAAACCAGCGAAGAAAATCGTCTGCCGGGTGTCAGTTTTGCTGTGAGAAACAAGTGGTTAAAGCTCCTAAAAACACCCATTGGGAAGTCAGAGCGTATCATCTCACTTAAACTTCAGATGACCATCGGCTCTGTGAACATCATTAGTGCTTATGCACAAACACTCAAATCAAGCCCCGAGGAAAAGGATACATTTTACGACCCTTTGCATCAAGTCGTCAAAAGAATACCATCAACTGAAGACAGAATTTATGGGCAGAGTATGTGGCATCCCTGCACCCTTTCAGTGTTTGCCTAATCTCCAGCATCTTTTATTCCCCAAGAGATGAACCCTACTCCCATCAAAATCAATGCGAGCTTTGCTACTGATTTCACTGAGAATATATTCAGAACACGAGTGGCATACCTGCATTTCTGAATTTGAAATATTCCCATAAGTTTTTTTTATACTTTCACTTGAATATGGCAAATGCAACACAAGAAGCTTATAACTCAAAGGAAAAAGCAAAGATAGGTATCCGTGTTTTGTGTTAATCTTCTCTCTTTCTCTCTCATTTGATATGTTAATCATTTTGTTTGACTTAGGTATGCTTTAGTCCAACACTCATCTAAACTACATCATGCCACTTACCTCTGTATTCTTTTGTTTATTTTATTTTGAGCATTGAATTTTCATGATATACTGTTTGTAGTGTTTTAAAAAAAGACACCATCAACATGAAATCAAGTTTTAAAAAGTAAAAGCCTGATGACATTTCTCTGCTATGTTGCTGTGTTAGCCGGGGTTATCTGAACTCAAAGCTATGGTAACTCTTCTCTACATCACTCTGCCAAAGAAAGGCAACCTGTAATTGTGTCAGAATTACCAGACCATAAGCTTAATTAGCCATCCCAGAAAAGTGATGTTGAAAGTCATATTGAACACATTGAAGCCACAAGCAGACAATATCATTGCTGAAGAACAAGGCTGGCTTTTGTGCTGGAAGAAGTACCACAGAACAGATTTTCAACCTTTGTTTTATATGTGAGAAGTACTTACAACACCAGCAGGACGTTTACCATGTCTTTGTTGACTTCAAGAAGGCGTTTGACAGAGTATGGCATGAAGCTCTCTGGACAACCATGAAGAAGTACAATGTTGGTCGTAAGCTAATTCTCACCATTAAACAACTGTATGCCAAGGCCAGCAGTGCAGTTCTCGTCAATGGCACAATAGGAGAATGGTTTCACACCACTGTTGGAGTCCAGCAAGGCTGCCTTCTTTCGCCCACACTGTTCAGCATCTACTTGGAGCGCATAATGACTGATGCCCTAGAAGATCATATATGCACAGTCAGCATTGGGGAGCGAACAATCTCAAATCTTCGGTTCGTTAATGACATTGATGGTCTGGCAGGCAGCGAAGATGAACTTGCCAACCTTATTAAACGATTGGATGAAACCTCCGCAAAATATGGCTTGGAAATCAGTGCAGAGAAAACCAAGCTGATGACAAACAAATGTGATGGGTTCAGCTCACATATCACTATCAGTGGACAAGAGCTGGAGACAGTGAAACAGTTCAAGTATTTGGGGGCAATCATAACTGATGAAGGATCCAAGGCAGAAATTTGGGCCAGAACTGCACAAACAGCAGCAGTGGCAAAACTAAAGCCAATTTGGAGGAATAAGAACATCTCCCTGGAATCCAAACTAAAACTGCTGCACGCATTGGTCATCTCCATTTTTCTGTATGCATGAGAGATATGGACCCTTACAGCAGAACTTGAATGGAAAATATAGGTAGTAGAGATCAGATGCTTTCATAAAATCCTGAACATCTCCAACTTCAACCACATCACTAATGAAGAGGTCCACAACATCATCACCCAATGCGCTGGGTCATATGAAGACCTCCTGATGACCTTGAAGAAGCACAAGCTGAAGTGGTAACAGCCATGTAACAAATGCAACACATCTGGCCTATCCAAGATCATCCTCCAAGGGACAATACAGGGGA